CCCCAAAACCCCAAAACCCCAAAACCCCAAAACCCCACATTAAAAGGCAAGAATGAACTATAAATAATAAATAAACACGCAATGGCCAAGAAGAACAGCAAAAAGAGGTACCGGAATGAGCACAAGAAGAACCTTCAAGACTATGAGAAGTACACCAAGAAAAAGGAGGAAAAGCGTCTCAGGAAAAATGCCAGAGTCGATGCTAAGAGTCTCAAGCAGAAAGTTGAAGAGCGTAAAGAGCAAATGCAAAGTACTAGAAGAAACAGAGGTAAGTTAAACCTGAATGGTTCTCCTGCATGACGTGAAGGCTAACCTGCTTTAGGCCCCAACTCTTCCACGAAGAAGTCTACGATGCCTGTCATCCGCTCCAAAGTGAAGCAAGAGCAGCTCGTCGAGCAGTTCAAGCAAATGAAACTCGACCGTTTGTCCAGAATGGACAGGCGAGATGCTGCCGTGGAGTCCATCAAGGAGACTCAAGACCAACAGAGCGACGAAGTCATGAAGGGAGAGAAGGTCAAGAAGAGAAAGAGAAGCAAAGCTTACCAGAAAATGGTCAAGGCTGCCTTGAGATCTGCAGCTAAAAGACCAATCCTTGTCAAACGCAAGATGGAGGTTGACTAAGAGTATAATTTCTAAAATTTGAACTGGTTCAGTATCACTGTCTGAGTCTCCATTTAATGCGTCTCAGTGCATCGTCTCTGTGCTCTTGTGCTCAGCTCGTGTCTATGCCAAGTTTGTGGCTCTCTAAAGTTGGTTAAGCTAATGCATCTAAACTAAATTTTATCTAAGCTAATATTTCGTTTGAAGTTGAAGGGCCGACCTCACAGACGAGGGTGCAATGTCTGGAGATCGTAGGCAACCTGTTCCATAAATGGGACGACAGAAGCCCCTGAAAGAAATTGAGTGAAATGGTCCTTCGTAAAGGATTGCCAGATTTCACGCTGACAAGAACAGATACTACCTTTGATCTTAGCCAAGAGGCCGAGAAGGTATGACTTTTATTGGCTCCTCTCTTTAAGTAGCAGACCATCAATTTTTAGAAGCTCCTTCAAAAGGGAATATTAAATTAGAGTATTTTGGCGGTGACTTCTTCAGCTTAACTTTATTTAAATAGGAAATTAGTGTTAGATCAAGAGTTCAGCTTTGAATGGAGCTTTACTAAAGCTTACACTCTTTACTACAACCAAAGGAAGTTTAATGACATTTTTATGATATTTAATGGGAGACATACAAATAGTGGAGTCTGTGACTTCCAGTATAAAGGATCAGACTCCTCTGCTGGGTTTGAATACTCAAAATTATTCTTAAGGCTCATAGAGAAGAAAGAAGTGATTTGTCTTATCCGTTAAATAGAGATTTTCTACAATTTTAAATGGAATTCTGCAATGGGATCTAATCATAATTAAACGTATTTTAGAAATAGTGAGATTTGCTATCAAAGTCAATCTCAAATTAACACATTGGGGTTTTGGGGTTTTGGGGTTTTGGGGTTTTGGGGTTTTGGGG